CCCTCTTCTCCTGCTTCCAAAGGGGGCTTTGCTATTTTTAGTGCTGGTAATTTAAACATTGAAAGTAAACTTTCCAAGGCTTTAGCTTAAGCCTGTTTGCTTCTGACTATTTACAAAAAAGGGAGGCAGACTTCCTGTTTTAAACCTCCCCCCGTTCGTTGCCAAATTCGACTTTTTAAAACTCCAATACTTCGCTTTACTCACGGGTAATTACTTTTAGATCCAATTGTCAACAGGAAAAAGTCAGCGCTCTCCGGCAACGGCTGTGCGGCTTCACTCCGTGGAAGTAGCAGTCGCTTCAAAGCACCGCACCACTCACCCCACTTCGCTCCGGATCCCCGAAAACGGCTTTCCCCGCGAGTAGGGGGGGCGCTGATGGTGCCCGCTGAATCCCACGTTCACAGGCTTCACCCGCCTGTGATTTTTGAAGGGTCCCCGCCTTCGCCGTGGCGGCAAGACCCGATTCCCACGGAGCGGATTCCTCTGATTCAGAGGAAATCCGCCATTGCCGATGGAGCAAACCCGGAAGTCTCCGGACTTTGCTGGATAACACAGATAAGGAGCATCCCGAACGCAGGACTGTCATCATTGCAAGAGAGTTGCAACGTTTTAACATTGATATTGCAACACTTCAAGGAACTCGGAGAATGAAGAAAAAGGAGGCTACACATTCTTCTGGGAAGTTCTACCTCAACAAGGACATTGAATACATGGAGTAGGTTGTGCTATCAAAAACGATCTTGTGAACCTCTTGTCAGAAGTCCCTACTGGCATTCAACCCTTCAAATAAAACTCACCAAAACAGGCTACTATTTTTAGCACTTATGCACTTGATGCTGATGAAGACATTAAAGAAAAATTTTACTCTCAGCTGGATGCCATTCTATCACAGATGCCAAAGGAGGACAAAATTATCCTCCTGGGTGATTTTAATGCAAGAGTTGGGTGAGATTTCGATCTGTGGCCTGGGACTATTGGGAAAGAAGGAATTGGCAGCAGCAATCAGAACAGAATCTTACTTTTGACTCTATGTACAGTGTACAACCTTGTGTTGTACAATCGACACACTCTTTTGACAAAAATAAATTTAAAACATCATGGAGACACCCTCGGTCAAACCACTGGAACCTCTTAGACTACACTGGGCAATAATTTTTTACTTTTTGAATGTTGTCTAGATTTCTACAACTGATTTAGGGTATTTTTGCACTACTGAATCAGGAAATGGCATCCGTTTCTCTCCATCAGGTCAGGTTTTTGTGCTATATTGATTTGGAAAAAAAACAAAATCGATTACATTTTTGTGGCATTATCAGCTGATTTTTGTCAACACATATCATCCTAAATATGTTTTTAAGAGGAAAAAAAAAGTTTTTCCAACAACATATATTGATTACCTGATAGAAACATCGATTACTGTAAACTGAATGGTGGGCATTGATAAAGGTAAGTACACGTAAATTGCATGTTGCTTCTGTTGAATGGTTTCTTTAAATGTAAAGGTTCATCATTGTTCCACCCAATGTGTATGTCTTTAAGGGGCCAGAGCAAGGGCCAGAGCAAAATAACGAGACCCAGCTTTACAGCTGTGAAACACAGCAGGTGCTGCTGAGTTGTATTGATTAAGCTGTGTCAGCAATTGGGTATAGTATATAAGGAGCAGCACCTAGCTCTCCCATTACCCTGGGGGATGGGTTGGTGGTTGGGTCTGGTTTGTTGATGTATTTAGTGTAAATGGAGTTTTTGTTTTTCTTATTAAAACCTTGTTTAAGTTATTTTGAGTCCCTTTTTAATGCATGGTCTCCCCAGCAGGCTCTCTGCAGCGCTACCATACTGCAAAAAGCCAACATTTTTCAAACTTCAGGGCTTGAACTTCCATTTCTTGGAACTCCTGGAATGCTCAGCGGCAGGGAGGTCTCTCTTCAGAGTCCAACAGTAGTCAGCCATCATGACTGCGTCCCAGCAACCCTGATACCTGGTCTCCATCTCTTTCATGTCCTGATGGAATCTCTCCCCCTGCTCGTCACTCATTGAACCCAGGTTCTCAGGAAACCGGTCCATATGAGAAAAGAGGTAGTGCATCTTGACGCTCATGTTGCAGCCCAGGTTTCTGAAAGCAGTCAGCATGTTGTTGACAAGTTCTGTGTAGTTTCTGGCCTTATTGTTGCCAAGAAAGTTCTTCACTACCAGAACAAATGCCTTCCACGCTTCCAGTTCCACTTTGTTCATTGACGCGGCAGCTAAAAAAGCCAATGCAATTCTGGGCTGCATCAATAGGAGTATAGCATCTAGATCAAGGGAAGTAATAGTGCCACTGTATTCTGCTCTGGTCAGACCTCACCTGGAGTACTGTGTCCAGTTCTGGGCACCACAGTTCAAGAAGGACACTGACAAACTGGAACGTGTCCAGAGGAGGGCAACCAAAATGGTCAAAGGCCTGGAAACGATGCCTTATGAGGAACGGCTAAGGGAGCTGGGCATGTTTAGCCTGGAGAAGAGGAGGTTAAGGGGTGATAGCCATGTTCAAATATATAAAAGGATGTCACATAGAGGAGGGAGAAAGGTTGTTTTCTGCTGCTCCAGAGAAGCGGACACGGAGCAATGGATCCAAACTACAAGAAAGAAGATTCCACCTAAACATTAGGAAGAACTTCCTGACAGTAAGAGCTGTTTGACAGTGGAATTTGCTGCCAAGGAGTGTGGTGGAGTCTCCTTCTTTGGAGGTCTTTAAGCAGAGGCTTGACAGCCATATGTCAGGAGTGCTCTGATGGTGTTTCCTGCTTGGCAGGGGGTTGGACTCGATGGCCCTTGTGGTCTCTTCCAACTCTATGATTCTATGAGTTTCCGAACTCTGGATCTCTGATGAGCTGATGGATCTGAGGACCGTCAAAGATGCCAGCTTTCAACTTCTTCATGCTCAATCCTGGAAAAGCTTGGCACAAGTAAGTGGAGCAGTCACCATCCTTGTCCAGAGCCTTGGTGAACTGCTTGATTAAGCCGAGCTTGATGTGCAGCGGTGGGAAGAGTATTCTGTCTCTGTCCACCAGAGGGTCGTTGATGACGTTCCTTTCTCTGCAAGGCACCAATTCCTCCCGCACAGGCCAGTCCTTCTTCGTGTAATGCTGAGCACGGTCCCTACTATTCCACATGCACAGAAAACATGGGTACTTGGTGAAGCCAGACTGTTGTCCCAACATCCAATTCACCATCTTCAGGTCAACACAAATAAACCACTTATGCTGATCATAACCAATTTTCTCCAGCACATACTTCACCGCTTCCTAGTTCTCCTTCAGTGTACTCGAGTGAGCCAGGGGTATAGAGGCAAACTGGTTGCCGTTGTGTAGCAGAACATATTTCAGTGATCACTTGCTGCTGTCAATGAACAGTCTCCAATCTTTGGGTTCGTACTGTGGCACTCCAAGCTTGAGCAGAAGCTGTGCAATATCTGCACAGTACACCAAGTCCTTCTCTTCCGAGAAAAAACGGAGGCACTCTTGATGCCTGTTGAGGAAGAAGCTGATGCGAGCACTGTCAGAGAGGAGGTTTTTTCCCTTCAATCTGGATGCCAACAGTTCGGCAGAGTCCTTTGACAAGCTGAGGTCGCGAACTAGATCATTCAACTCCTTTTGGGAAAATGGATGTGGAACATCATCTTCAAGAACCACTTCTTCTTCATGTCCTTCAACACTGGAAGCATCCTCGTCACTAATGTCAGGAAGTTCTCCGAAGATAGGCACTGGAATTTCATCACAATGAGCTACAGGACGACGTGCTGATTGAAGATCAGGATACTTGAGGCTGCTCCGGTTCTTTCTGTTGATCCAAGTCACATCAACAGCGCAGAAGTAGCAGTCAGTGACATGGTTTGTCGGCTCCCTCCAAACCGTGGGAATTCCAAAGTTCAGACTCCTCTTGCCATTGGTCCACCCACGTAGAGTCTCGGTGCATGCCTTGCACACCATGTGTGGCGCCCAAGCTTTATCCTGGTCACCAAGTTTAATACCAAAATAAGCATGGTAAGCACGCCTTATGAAACTTGTGTCTGGCTTCCTATTAGGAGCAATGGTGTATTCTCCACATATGTAGCAGAACACGTCGGGTTTATTTCTGCACGATCTTCTGGCCGAAGTCATCTCATTCACCTGCAAAACAAAAATAGGTACAAATTAGTCATAAGTTGGTGCATGCATGGGTGGAGTTTCCTATACACTTCGTGGGGCGGCTGCCCCATTAACTTAGTTTTGATCCCCCAACTTTATGCTTTGCCGCATCAATTTATGTAAGATTTCGAGGTTTTATGACTTCAAACTGATCCCTTTTCGATATAATCACCCAGAACTATGGGACCTGAATACTTCTTGTCATTAAAATAATCATTTCCAATCAAAACAATTATTCGACATGGCATTTTACCCCCACCGGCTTCTTCTAAAATGCTCCACACAAGCGTACATGTGAACAAAAACGTAAAAAAAGACATGTGGCCATAGCTCAAAAACTTGACTGAGCAAAACCAATGTGATTTTTGGATTCAGCGCATCAGATTCGTCCTAAATCAATTGAAAAAACGCAGACAACAAATTTGTTGTTGACCAGTGAGCTATGTAATTGTCTGAGCTGAAGATCGCCGTGATGTGCTCCTTACCAGAGCTATGATGAATGCCGACGACTGCTGGACAGATCACTGATTAATATGCTCCACGAAGGAAACCAAGGCGCAAAATGAACACTCAAGCCCTTCAACATCCTATTAAGTGAGACTGCGTCCAAACGACTCTTAAGGGCCATCTGCTTTTGTTCAGGGAAGTTTTTAATGTATGACATATTACTGTATTTTTGGTCTTTGTGGAAGCCGCCCAGAGTGGCTGGGGAAACCCAGCCAGATGGGCGGGGCACAAATAATAAATTATTATTATTACATTACTTTTGGAGTTCCCTCATAACTTCAGGGAACTCTGTACCAAGCTAAAAGAAACACCAGGACTGGTTTTATGAGAATGACAGTGAGATTGAACGCATTGCTGACAAGAAAAGGAAGGCCTTTCAGATTTGGCAAAGAGATACAAATTTGTGGCACTAAGAAAAAAACCTATGCTAAGGCTGAGTTTCAAAGTAAAGAACACCTGGTGGATAAAAAAAAAGCTCAAGAGAACCAGCACTTAGCCGACACTCATGATGCACAGAGTTTCTTTAAAGCCACAAAGACCGTCTATGGGCCAATAAATCATGGCATATGCCCCCTATGCTCAACAGACGGTACCACACTTCTAAAAGATAAAGAAGCTATTGCACTGCGCTGGAAAGAACATTACCAGCATCTCCTTAACCGCAACTCCCCCATAGCTGCTGAGGTCCTTTCACAAATTCCACAAAAACAAATTAGAGATGAGCTTGCAGTATCTCCAAATCTGGGAGAGCTGTGTACAGCTATTAACCAAATGAAAAACAACAAAGCCATTGGACCTGATGGGATACCTGCTGAAGTCTTCAAAGTGGGCAGAATTGAACTTGCACAACAACTTCACAAGCTCATCCAAAAAACCTGGGAGAGAGAAGAGATCCCAGCAGACTTTAGGAATGCCAAAATTTTCAGTCTCTTTTAAAAAAGGTGACAGAATGGATTGCGGAAACTTTTGAGGCATCTCTTTATTAGCTGAGGCTGGCAAAATTCTTACAAGGAACATAGCAAACCGTCTGTTAACAATATCTGAGGCAACCCTTCCTAAATCCCAAAATGGTTTTAGACCTTCTGGGGGACAGTGGACATGATTTTCACCACTCAACAGCTTCAAGAAAAATGCAGAGAGCAAAACCAACCCCTGTATATGGCGTTTATTGACCTAAGGCCTTCAACACTATAATGCCCTGTGGACTGTTCTTCTGAAATGGGCTGCCCAGATAAATTTGTGAACATCATTCGGCTCCTCCATGATAATATTGTTAGGTTTCTGTTTATCACCACTGTGCAGTGCTTGGAGTCACAAGACTCTGTTTTGCATTCCAGACATTCCAGACTGTCGGAAGTCTCACGGAAGACGGGAGACGGATGTGATGTTACTGGTTTCCTGTTCCTTTGTTTTCCAGTTGCTCTCTGCCTTTCACAGAGAGAGGATGTAAATTCTTACTGTCTGCATAGTTAGAAAATAAAGCATAGCGATGTAGCTCATATTTCTCGTCCTTCTGCTGTTTTGGATACTCTGCTGAATGGGGAACGTGCTTGAAGCCTCATCAAAGGCTCAGGTCGTTAATCACTGTCGGAGGAGATTCCGGAGGACTCGACCAGAGAATGAGCTTTTCAGCTCGGTCGTAGCGGAGATTCCGACAAATATGACAGCAACAATTGCAGATAACAATGGCTCTCAAAGTGAACCATTCATAGTGGGATCAGGTATTGAACAGGGTTGCGTTATTGACCCAACTCTATTCATTATCTTCATTTCCATGATCCTTCACATTGTCGAAGGGAAACTCCCCACCAGGGTATAAATCATATATCGGAACAGATGGAAAGCTCTTTAATCTGAGTAGACTGAAAGCAAAGAGTAAGGTTACAGTAAGTTCCATCATAGAGCTTCAGTATGCTGATGACAACGTAGTGTGTGAACACTCAGAGGATGACCTCCAAACCATCCTAAATATCTTTGCAGAAGCTTACAAAAAGCTTGGCCTAGTGCTTAACATCCAAAAAACCAAAGTGCTGCACCAATGTCAGCTTCTTTTTTCCCCAAATGCTTTTTATTGAGATTTAAGTACACCAACACCAACCTACAAAAACATCAAGTCTTATTACATATATCCTGCTTTATGTTCCATAGAGCCATTGACTTCCGCCCTTCCCTTCCGCAAATTTTCTTATTTCAATCTATAATTCACAGTTTCATTGGTTAAAAATTACATCGTGACATAAGATTTAATTCAATCCTGCCAACGTTTTCTATTTCTACAGTTCTCACTTATATAAACCATAAATTTACTCCATTCTTTTTGGTGCTTCATCTCCTCCTGATTGCGAATGCTGTGTGTCAATTTTGTCATTTCAGCGTATTTGACCAGCTTTATCTGCCATTCCCTTACAGTCGGAAGCTCCTGTAACTTGCACTTTTGGGCTATCAAAACTCTGGCTGCTGTTGTTGCATACAGATATAATCTTTGGTCTGTCTTCTTAATGTCTTCTCCCACCAAGCCTAGCAAAAATTCTTCCGGCTTTTTTGGAAAAGTATATTTAAATTTTAGATTCTCGTTCCAAAGTTTAGCCCATGCATCATAGTCTATGTTACGTCCCAAGTCAGTAGCCCATTTTGTCATGGCCTCTTTTATGAATTCATCTTTTCTGTTCCATTCTAATAAAAGATTGTACATTTTCGAGAGTGGTTTGAGCTTACTTTCTATAATATCTGTTTGGAATTTCGATTTCTTATCTTCAAATCCTAATTTTTCATCATCTTTAAGAACATCATTGACTTGATGGTATTGCAACCATCCTGTCAATTTTTCTGCAATACAATTATAGGGCTTCAATTTCCAACCTTTCTCAGATTTCATCAGAATCTCCTCCTCTCCCTTCCATGTTCAGTTTTTTGACCGTTAACATATCAATTGGTGACACCCACCACGGTGTTTTCCTTTCCAGCAAGTTCTTATTTCTGTCCCAAACTTCAAAAAGAGCACCCCATATCACATGGTTTGTAAACCCTCTATGCACTTTTGCTTTACCATACCAGAGGTAGGAGTGCCACCCATATCTATTATTGTGTCCCTCCAGGTCTAACAAGTCTGGGTTTTCCAGGGTTATCCAATCCTTTATCCAGCATAAACAAGCCACTTCATAATAAAGTTTCAAGTCAGGTACTGAGAACCCCCCTCTTTCCTTCCTGTCTGTCAATATTTTAAATTTAATTCTTGGTCTTCTCCCTTGCCATATGAAGCGCGAGAGAGTCTTTTGCCATTCTTTGAATTGTCTTAGACCTCTAATTATCGGGATCGTTTGGAACAAAAATAACATTTTCGGTAGTAAATTCATTTTAATCGCTGACATTCTTCCACTCATTGACAGCTTTAAACTATCCCATATTTCTAAATCTCTTTTAATCTCCTTCCACACTGGTTGGTAATTATCATTAAATAGGTTTATATTCTTTGCCGTCATCCAAATTCCCAAATATTTTACTTTTTTGACCACCTTAATTTCACTTTGTTGTTCCAACCTTTCTACCTCGCTCTTTCCCAAATTTTTGCCCAACATTTTCGTCTTTGTCTTATTCAATTTAAATCCTGCCAATTGTCCAAATTTTCCCATTTCTTCCGATGCTATTTTAACACTTTCTTGGGGTTCTTCTAGGGTTAATACCAGATCATCTGCGTAGGCCTTAAGTTGAAATTCCTTGGCACCTATTGTGACCCCTTTTATCTCTGATGTTCCTCTCAGGCAATTTACTAATACTTCTAACACTATAATAAACAGTAGCGGAGACAGTGAGCACCCTTGTCTGGTACCCTTTGTAATATCAAATGAATCTGTCAAGGTGTTATTCACAATTAATTTCGCTTTCTGCTCCGAGTAAATTGCCTCAATTCCTCTTAAGAAGGTGCCACAGATCCCCATCTTCTGCATACTCTTCTTCCTAAATGACCAAGATACATTATCAAATGCTTTTTCAGCATCGATGAACATTAGTAAGGCTGGCTTATCATTTCTTACCTCCAGGTATTCCAATATATTAATGATATGTCTCACATTATCTTTTAATTGCCTGCCTGGTAGGAAACCTCCTTGGTCTTTATGAATTAATTCATTTAGTATTATCTTCAATCTGTTGGCCATAATATCCGCAAAAAGTTTATAATCATTGTTTAACAATGATATTGGTCTGAAGTTTTTAACACTCAGATGGTCTGTGTCTTGTTTGGGGATCAACGTTATATATGGCTCCTTCCAGGAGTTCGGTATTTTTCCTTTTCCTTGTAAAATAGCATTCATTACTTCCCCTAGAACCGGTATCAGCTGTTCGCTAAGTGATTTGTAATACTTAGTGGTGAGCCCATCCGGTCCTGGGGCTTTGCCTTGTTTCATCTTCTTTACTGACCTTTGGATTTTCTGGTTTGTTATTGGGGCATTTAGTTGTTCTCTTTCTTCTGGTGAAATCTGTTTCCCTTTATGTATTTCCAAGTATCTTTCTATATTTTTTATATCTTCTTTTTCTTTCCTGTAAAGCTCCTTATAAAATCCTTGAAAGGCTCTTCTTATTTCTTTTGGGTCTTCCGTCAGCTGTTCCCCTATCCTGATTTTGATGATTATATTTTGACTTTGACGCTTTCTTAGCTGCCATGCTTCCCAGTTTTGTTTGCTGATTCAAAGTATTTCTGTCTCATTGGTTTTAATTTCCATTCCACTTCTTGGTTCACCAGCATGGAATACTGAGTTTGTAACATTTTAATAATCTGTTTAGTTTGTTCATCTTTTGGTTTTGTTGCCAATTTTTTCTCATTTTCCATGAGTTGAATCAGAACTTCCTCTTTTTTCCTTTCTCTTTCTTTTTTTAATGGCTGTTTTGCTGAATTAGGAACCTCTCATGACCGCTTTACTCGCGTCCCACACAGTATCCAAACTAGTTTCTCTATGTAGGTTCCAGTCAAAATATTCCTTTATTGTCTCTTTCACTTTCTCTACTATTTTTGGGTTCTCAAACAATGTATGATTCATCCTCCATCTAAAAGAGGATTGTTCTTTACCTTTTAATTCCAAATAGATTGAGTTATAAGCAGATAGAGTTTGTGGGGTAATCTCAATTTTGTTTACTCTAGAGACTAATTCTTTAGATACCCAAACATAATCTATCCGGCGGTGGGGCTCCGAGAAAAAAGTGAACTGTTTTGTAATTGGGTATTTCCACCTCCAAATATCTGTTAAATCAAAATTTTCAACCAATTCAAAGAAAGTCTTAGGGAGTTTACCCTCATTTATGTTTTTTTTCTTTGGCATTCTGTCCATTTCCAGCATTACCACTCCGTTACAGCCTCCCATCAGAATTATCTTCTGATCCATAAATTCCATCAGTCTTTCCTCTAATCTTTTTTAAAAATCCGCTTTATTTCCATTAGGAGCATATATTCCCACAAGAATTATCTTCTCACCCTGCAATGTTATTTGTACCACAATCACTCTCCCCTCCTCATCTTTAGAGATCAATTTAGGATCTAATCTCTCCTTTATATATAGCACCACCCCTCTTTTTTTGTTAACATCGAAAGTTACAAACTCTCTACCCAGTCTTATATTAATCAAAATATGTCTGTTTTTTAGCAACGTGAGTTTCCTGTAAACAGATTACATCAACATTCTTTTTTTTCAAAACATGTCCAACTTTATTTCGTTTAGATTTTTCGTTAAACCCATGAATATTCCAAGTTATCAATTTCAACGTCATTTCCTTAATAATTTTGTTACAGAGAGAGAAAGTAAAATTTGGGTGGGTTTGTTAGTGTCCTCTTCGTCCTCTTCTTCTTCCTCTTCCTCCTCTTCTGCTTCTCCTTGCTCTCCCTCTCCTTCTTCTTCCTCCTCTTCTTTGTTTCTTTCTTTCTTTTTCTTCTTTTTGTTTTCCTCTTC